TCGGCCGAGCGACAGAAGTCATGAGGCAATCGCTATGCAACCGTGAAGCCTCAACTGGTGAAAGTATCCCTCATCGCCAATACACGCATTCTGAATGGCAATCAAAGAAGGCTGTTATTAAAGAGCTCTACCTTGACGGAGGCATGTCGCTGAAAAAAGTTATGGAAGTTCTCGAGAAAGAACCTCATAGCTTTCGCCCTACGTAAGCCTTGAAAACTCGGTGCAGAACGCGGCGGAACATTAGTTGATCTTCATAGACCCAGAATGTATAAGCAAAAGCTCAAGAGCTGGGGCTACTTCAAAAACTGCACCGAAGAAAGAGTGAGGAGTGTACTCTATAATAAGACGGCGGGATGTGCGGTTGGAAAAGCGTCGGCGTTCAGCCAGGATGGGGAAGAACGAGACCGGAAGATTAAGAAATACTTGGAAAGGACGAAGAAGACATTTCCGGAGTTTATCGAAACAGAAGATCAACAACATGTTGCACTCGATATTAGCTTTACGACTCCCCCACAGGCAATACCATATGATTTAGATACCGATCTAAGTTTGACCGATTCGCAATCGACACAGAATGGTTACGAATACAACTACTCACCTTCGATCCCAGAAGCGAAAAGGGCCTGCCTCAGATGCTTGTTATTAGAGAAAAAGGTGTGTCCCCAAGGTTGTGAGTTCCGATTCACGGCTAACTCTATAAGTGTTCGGATGGCGATCTCTGCACTACCTGCAAACTGTTGGCGCATACGCTCGAGAAGCAGACTTTGTGGTTCTCGGCTTGCATTAGGACACTACTTTCCGAAGTTAGCATTTTTGAGCTAAGTAAGAGACCCTGGCTGTATAAAGACTGGTCCACTGACAGAAACTAGACCTCCCACCACTCGAAACCCGCTACCTAGTTCTTTCAAAGAGCAAGAATCTAGAGCTAGCGAAGGTTTCCCTCGAATTTGAATCTAAGGTTACGTGGGGCCTGGAAGCACTTGTCAGCAATATTGTGGACTGGCTCAATAATCCCACGGTCTCGGAGACGAGCAAAGTTGGAACTCTTTCATCCCCTCAATTCTTAGGCCTCATCAAGCCATTAGTTGGAGAGAACATGATGACCAAATTCCAGTATATGATCTATGCTATTTCTCTCGCCTACACTCAGAACTCCAGGCACCTTCTAAGCAGCCTGGAGCTGCACCAGATTGGCGCCACCGCTGGTCACAACTTTCTCAGGGTTCTTGACGAGCGTCTCAAGCCGCAGTCGCTAAAAGAATACTCTGTCGATCATCTCCGGGCTCTATTTCTTATGATCTTTGGTACCACCCTTGCTGTTAGTTATGCCGAACCTGTGCCTGAGGGCCCGAGTATAGAACGGCAGACGAGATTTAGGCCGATGCAAAACCATCTCTGCCAAATCTTGGCACACTACATGATCTATTTAGGGTCGCAGCTAAACCGTCCCATTACTGATGATGCCGACCAGTTCATCCTTGAAGAGGCACCAACAAGGTGGTACAAGGAAGGCGCCTTTCTGTGGAAACTAGAAAATGAGGAGATAGTTGAATCCGGTTCTGGATTCGAAGTCGAATTCGGAGGCTCTAAAGTAGCCAAGCTCGACAGTGTCTCCGCAGTCGTTGAGGATAACGCTCCTGATAAGTTGTGGTGCCTGAGGGAATCTCCAGTAGCATTTGCCTACACATCAACTCTTACCACAGCCACGGACTGGCGTTGCGTCTTTCAAGAAGAGCGCCACTGTATGGGTGGGGTCACGTTACTTAAACAAGGTTCTGGATTCGAATTTGAATCCGAATCCAGAGGCTTTGAAGCTGTAGCGGCTGGGGGAATCAAGAAGTACCGATGTGATCATTTCTCTTGCGGCGCCAGTTTCTTGCGGAGATGGGAGCTCATGAGACACAAGAGGACCCAGCACCCTAGCGACCAGCATCGCATAGAACGTACATCGACGAAGAAGTACTTGCTCGTTTGATTGCCTAGTTTTGGAGTCATCTCGGAGTTTAGCATGTTTGTTTCAACAAGAAGGGGCATTGGATCAAACTTTATATACGCGGCATGGCGATGAGGCGCCGCAGAATAAAGGTATATCAGTATAGATTTGGATGCAGAACCTATTTAGTTTAGAATAGTCTAATATAAAGGCTACGCTTTGCGATTACCATTCCGTCGGCTCTTGGGTATGACAACGCTTACATGGTATTATTTGCTAGCTTGATATGAGGAGTTCGCGTGAACAGTGAAAGGGAAATGACTAGTGAAAAGGAGAAACCGCATATTCAGGGTATCGCCCCGGAGAGTGCGCCTCACCAGTGAAACGAAGTCAAAGGGATGACTAGCCAGCTTGCTTGACATACGATGTCCAAATTTGGTTGCTACTGGAATGCTCCTACGTGATCACACATCCCTCACGCCTACGCCTCACACAGGCAATCTTGCATCTTCCACTGGGGACTTAGACTTCTATGTTAGTACAATGCAGTGAGATGAGAAGGCTTAAGTTTACTCTTGTTATAGTCGAATAGGATAGAGTACGGTATGTGCTAATGACGAGCTGTACTGTATGACGGCAGTATGCCGAACTATGTGAATTATGCATCACAAAGGAAAGATTGAGGTCATAAGGAACTCGCAAAGCGTTGCAAGGAATATCAAACCCTTGAGTAGTGAAAAGCAGGTAGCTTTCGAAATGGCTACCCTTAAGATTGGCAGTGAATAGGCTAATAAGTGGCGGTGGTGGGACGGAGTCAAGGCAACATATTGGATGAGTTCATGTCATTAATCTTGTTTGCCATGTTGATGCTCTATCTGATCTTACACAAGCGAAGTGGTGTGGTAAATGTGCAAACCCAACCCATTGTATAGGTACCTTATGCATAGAAGTTGACGGTATCCTTCTTCTTTGCCTATAGAGTAGTTAGTACGGTTCATCTTTGCGATATCAAAACGAATAAAACTTACTTGAACTTCCGAGATGGCATCGACGTAATGCTCGTGGCTAATCTTCTGCTGACCCAATCGAAGGGCAATCATGCCAGCTTCAACACAAACAGCCTTCAACTGCGCACCACCAAACTCGTCAGTACTGCGTGCTAACTCTTGCCAATTGACACCCTCATCGACAGTCATCTTTCTAGAATGAATGCGAAGGATTTGAGCGCGGGCCTCTTCGTTTGGCAGGGGAAACTCAATTTTTCTATCAAGACGACCAGATCGGAGCAAAGCTGGGTCCAGGACATCGACTCGATTTGTGGCGGCCAGAACCTTGACACGGTCATCGGAGGCAAACCCGTCCAGCTGATTTAAGAGCTCCAACATTGTTCGCTGTACTTCCCGGTCACCCGACTTTTCGGAATCAAAACGTTTTGTGCCGACCGCGTCAAGTTCGTCAATGAAGATGATCGAGGGTGCCTTCTCTTTCGCAAGAGCAAAGCAATCACGCACAAGCTTTGCGCCATCGCCTATGAACATCTGCACAAGCTGTGGTCCGGCAAGTTTTAGGAAGGTGGCGTCAGTCTGGGCAGCGCAGGCTCGTGCAAGAAGAGTTTTGCCAGTACCGGGAGGGCCGTACATCAGAGCACCTTCAACATGTCAGCCAATGCATTTTGCTCATGTTGTAGAATTGCATACCCTTCGGAGCTTTGATGCCAATCTTCTTGAACCGCTCAGCCTCCTTCATGGGCCAGACTACTGCTTCGACAAGCTCCTCGATCTGCTTATCTAAGCCTCCAACGTCGGTATACTTCTCTGTCGGTTTCTCGTCAACCTCCATGGCCTTCACTCGGCTGTCGTACTCGGCGGGCAGGGTGTCCAGGACAAGGTATGAATCCTTATTCACACCAATGAGGTCACCAGGCTTGAGCTTCTCATGGTCTACTAAACCGATGAGGGGGAGGAAGATGGTTTGTCTCGTAGATGTTTTGATGACGGCGGATTTGCCTACACGGGTTGCATCTAGGTCGATGTTTGCACCTTCTTCGGCAGCTTCGGCTGTGACATCAAGGTCTAGTATCTCAACAACGTTGCCGACAAGATATGGGAGTTGCCTGTTGGCTGTCAGTAACTGTCACAGCAGGGCGGGGCCAAGGGCGAGATGCTGCAAGGCATACCTGTTATTCTCGATTTTCTCGAGGTTGTCCCGGATCTTCTCGTTCATAGCAGCCTTCTCGTGGGACAACCGTTGAAACTCGCTCTTCATGATGCGCATGTCGTTTTCTAATAACCGCCGCCGTGCAACAATATCTCGTGTACTTGACTTGAGAATCTCCTCATCCAGCTGCTCCTCCTCTGGCTCTGAGTCTTTCATCTCTGCATCACCGACAGCCTTCTTTCCACTCTCACCATCCTTTTTTTTGTCATCATCCTTCTTCTCCTCCTTCTCGTGGCGCTCCAGGTCATCGAGATCCTCGAGTGTCGACATAGTGGCGGTGTTGGGCGAATTATGCGGGCTGAGCTATGAGTGTGTTGTGTGAGGCAACGAGTATGTGCCAGCGATCGGGGAGGTCTCGTAGTGAGTAGAGGCGGATAACGGCTATGTTTCGTATTGGTTGGAGGCAGCTATGGATTACGAACACTGGAAGCTCCGCGATTACTTAGCGCCGGTCTTGGCAATCGACGTCCTTGCACAAACGCCGATGAACTGGACATTTCTACAGCCTCGAATTAGGATTTGTGAATCTTACTAGAATCGTCCTAATTATACGAAATGCTTTTATTCTACTAGAATAGCCGAACTCTACGCGTGTGAGAAGAGTCTCGGTAGCGTTAGCATGGTAGCAAGCGTGACCCTGGTGTTCCTGGTGCACATCCAGTGGAGCACCACTGACAACACACAACTGTGGGGAGGGCAAATGCTTACCCTAAATAAAGCACAAGTCTCATTATAATCTTGGAGTGAATGAGAATAGAATGTCAAGAAGAAGTCTAGTTTTAATATATAGGTGGATATATCCTATCTAAATTTTTAAAGTCCTTATTCCTCAACAAAACTGATCGATCCTGGCACCATGGCCTAATGGTAAGGCGTTGCTTTCCGGTGGCAAAGATTATGGGTTCGAGTCCCATTGGTGTCGTTTTGCCAATTTGAAATCAGTTTTGGAGTTCTTTCGCCTTTTTTGTCAACTTTTTTTTGTGTTGTCCAAAGTCAACCGAGGTCGCGTGAATGGTTCGACGTCCTACTTTTACACTATACCTTGAACGCCAAACCCAACATTTTCGCACAACACTCGGCTATTACCTTGTTTGATTAATATGTCTGCAGTGCGGAACATGCGCGGCATGCTAAGCGCGTCGTATGTCCAAGTTTAGTTCACGTGGAACAAGACACTGACTTTATAGCCTACGCCTGACACCATCAGCGCAACAATTACCTCTGGTGAGATTATATCCTCTTGTTCGTCTTCATTATCCTGTCAAGCTCCAACTAAGTTTCAAGTAGGTCCAATGCTGCCGCAAGACTTCAACTGTCACGCCAATAGAAGTTCCAAGCCCTCTAGAAGAGGGCGATCGCAAGCCTCCAAGTATCTTACCATTGGAGGTGCCAAGCACTCTAGAAGAAGACAGCTGGAAGTTACTAGATCGAGGTTTGAGGAAGGCCAAGAGCCAGACTCTACATCTCGATGAGGTTGTTGGCAAGAAATGGGGAACAACAGCAAAGAGTCTTGTCGAAGAATTGACACAGCTCTGCGGAGAGCTCAACAAAATATATTCCAAAAGACGTAGAATGCACAGCATTGTGAGATCAAATTCCTATGTACGTAATTAACCAAGCATGTTGTGTTATTTGTTCAGGGGCTTGAACTGACTATCCATAGCATATACGAGTTGACGCAGGCGGCGAACAGCCTCAGAATGATAAAATCTCGATAAATAGAGACACCATATTCGTGGAGGGCAGAGAGCTGTGAGTGTTCATCTTTCTACCAAGGCGCATTGTTAACTCAGTATTAGCCCGAATATATGGTTAAGGTACATCATAATATTTTTACCGCATCGGTAGCTCAGCCGCTTACATTTGAATCAGAGATAACTGCCAGTGCAGTAGCTGTGTTCACGAATCAACAAGGCAAAGATTACTGGACACTTTTTCGGTATGTTCCCTTACCTACACCCAACAGCTCTGGCTCATGTGACAGATTCCTAGCGATATTCAAATTCGTAGCAAAACGTTAAAGGACAACATACTTAGCATCGAATGTGCGTTCATTACGAAATTTTAGACTGTGTTGGACTTTTATTTACTATTGCAGGGAGTGACGGTCATAAAAGTGAATACACTCGCGAGTTTTTAGGCCGTACGCGTGGGGCTTTATCTAAAGCCGCATTACGTCAAGGTTTGGCAGGGTAATACAACCAAACACTTCAACGATATTGCCTACTGATCACCGCGAAGTTTTAAATTATGGGACGCTTCAATCATCAAAGATAATATTCCCAGTGTGTCATACGATTTTAACAAAAGCGGCAGTGGCCTTAAACAGCTACTCCAGAAAATTGTATTTTACAATACCTGCCTGTTTCTACTCTATATGACTAACGTGTGTACTGTAGCGCAGATTCGGCTTCTGCTACGTCAAGGATGTACCACACTCCGATCCATCCGCTACTGAGGAGCTTCTGAGACGCATTTCCTTTATTCGCGAAACACACTATGGCGGCTTCTACGACTTCACTGCCGATCTAGCCTCTCAAGACACGGCCTACACCAACATCGCTTTAGAAGCACACACGGACAATACGTATTTCTCTGACCCTGCAGGACTCCAGGCTTTCCACCTCCTCTCGCACACTGATGGTGAAGGTGGTGCATCTTTGCTTGTTGACGGGTTCAAAGTTGCCCAGGAACTATATGAGAGGAATAGAGAGGCGTACAATATCCTGTCTACGCTGAACGTGTATTCCCATGCCTCTGGTAATGATGGCATTAGCATCCAGCCCTATCGTAGCTTTCCTGTATTCGAACATGATCCCCAGTATGGCCATCTGACGCGTATACGGTGGAACAACGCCGATCGTGCTGGCATTGACGTGCCTGTTCATCAGGTGGGTGTTTGGTATGAAGCTGCTCGCAAGTTCGACGCCTTGTTAAAGAAGAAGGAGAACGAGTATTGGCAGCAACTGGAGCCGGGCACCGTGGTAATCTTTGATAACTGGAGGGTGTTGCACGGGAGGAGCGAGTTTACAGGAAAGAGGAGAATCTGCGGTGGGTATATCAATAGGGACGATTGGATGAGTAAGTATAAGATGGAGGTATATGGCAAGGATAAGGTACTGGGGGAGTTGGCTACGATTTGAAATGGTAGTTGAACACAAAGAAACGCATGTTGATACACCTTAGCTGTTTGGCACCCTTGAGCCTATTTACGGAAGCTGTAATAAAGATTGCTCCTGGTCTTCTTTTTTTCTTCACTCGCTCGGCACTCATCGTCCCTCCCGAGCGGCCCTCTCCTGCTCTAATTCCAGTTCGGCTTGCCTATAGTACTTCGCTGTGTCGACTCCGTGGTAGGGGTGGTTGACGAAGTTTGGCCAGATGAGAACATGTGCGAAAGTTGCTGAGTATCGCGAGTTCCTGTGTGCGACGCCCTGCATGTACTCGGTCATCTCCGTGGTGCCGTATAATGGTTCACCCTTCTTCACCTTATCTACCATCTCCCTCATATCCATTTCGATCTCGCGGCGATTTTCAAAGGCTCCATAGAAACGCACTGTTCAGATGATCAATACCATAACCCCGCAGCGCGTCAAATGACTCTATTATAGACAAAGAAAGGCCAAACGTACTGCAAGACCTGGTATAGGCCCACATGAAGGCTCCGGTAACGCCGATCGCACCACTCAATCGCATGATTGGCGCGAAGCCACCTTTGCCAACAAATGAAGGCGAGACCTTCTCCCAGTAGAGCATCAATCCAGGACTGATAGCACCAATTGCGGCTCCGGTTGCCCAATCGGTCGGACGAGTATATCGCATTACTCGCTTGAAATGTCTGTAATTTCTATAAGTAGTCGTATACGTCAGGGAGCATTTTTAGAGCGTACGGGTCATTGTCGATGAGCTACTTGATATTAGTGATTTTTTACCATTTTACGCCCGTATCAAGGCCAATTGCTCACAGGATACTCTCCAGTAGGAACCTTGTCCGGCACAACAGCCTGGTGCCTAACTCCTGCATCTTGTGAGGTCGACATTGCGCTGGAATGGATCGAATGGCGGGATCGATAGGCCTGACGGTACGAAGTGAGGTTGAGGGCCAAGTAGTGTGGTCATAGCGTTCGAGCTTCCTCCGCGCGCCTGCTCATTGCTCCTGCAACTTTTCTCTTGGCGCGTCATGCGACTGATGAAACCGCGACAAACAATGAGCGCACAACCCATTTGCTGCGTCATATCACTTCACAAGCGATAATTGGGGAAGAGAAACTGAAATATGGACGATATTGGCCAACAACCATCGGCGAGCGTCCATCATGGCGCCAACACTGCGCATGCGACCGAATCCTCCGACCTCAATGCGCGCCCAACCGTTGCTGACTTGCATGGAAATAACCACTTTGCGCAGGTCGCGAGAAAGAATTGGTTGACGGCAAAGAAGACACCTAAAGTCCGGCCTGAGGTGGTCAAGAAAGAGCTATGGGATGAATTAGAGAACGTTGACTTTGCCTACTCGTCGCTGCTCGTCTTGGAGAATCTGCAACTATTAGAGAGGTATCTGTGGCCAGGCTTCACCGAGGATGCATCAAACTATCACCATTTGCTTCTAGCGCTCATGGTTAATGTCAAGAGGAGAGAGAACTTGCCGTCTTGGGGTAAGTCGTCTTCTTTGAGCAAGGAGAGGACATATGTGCTAACACAGTGCAGAACATTTCACCAGCAAGCCTGCCGAGTTCTCGTCCTTCTTTCGCCGCATACTGTCCATGACCGTTGACCCCGCCCAACCTTCCAAGATCCGCACACAGCTCGTGTCATTCGTCATTGGCGCCTTCCAGTCGCTAGACAGCGGTCTCGTTCGAAAGGAATGTGCGCCCCTTGTTGGCATATCGATATGGCAAAACCTACACTCAGAGACTATACGGGAGAAGTACTTCGAGGAGCACCAGATGTTGCGCAAGGCTTGGAGGGCGACGTCTAAGCGATTTGATTCTAGCGATGAAGCACTTCAAGCAAGGCTGCGATTCGAGCGATCATGGCTCTATACGTTGATGCTAGACTTTATCGATCGGCTGTACAACAATACTACCAAGGAACAGACAAGAGATAATTTGGGGTATTGCGAGCGATTCATGGAATTACTAACTGACTTGGATAGCCAACTGCCGACTAGGAGATATGTGAACACTTTGGTCCGGGATCTTAACCTTCTTCCAGCAATTGTACTATCGCCAATATATACCGATGAGGATAATGGTCTGTTCCGAGATCTCTACAGCCTTCTGAGCCACTTCGCAAACTTCCCAATTGAGGATCAAACCGGCAAGCAGCTCTCGAAGCTAGAGTATGACCAACAGCACTACGATATCTTGGCAAAGCTACAGCGAACAGGGTATGCAGCATTCCAAGAGAAGCTCCAACTGATGGCGCTGGCAAATTATGGTAGTATAGGCAACCGGGAGGAACTGGACGGCTATCTTCGATCATTGAACGATGACGAGCTAGTACAGCTCTGCTCACTTATGGGATTGAGGACAGACTACCCAAGCTCAACGTTCCTAGTCCGAGACCGAGCCTTCTACATGGAGACATTGCTTTCGCTGGTCGAGCGAAGACCTACCTTCAAGGACACCGTTCGCAATCTGCCAATACTACCAACAGAGAAAATACTATATGAGACGACATTCCTCAGGAACGAGTCTTACAATGGGTCTAGGCCACTCGCAATACCAAAACTGAATCTCCAATACCTTACGATGGGTGATTTCTTGTGGAGATCTTTCATTCTTTATCGCGCTGAGGCGCTTTACGGCATTCGAAAGGATATAGAGGACGTTGTTAAGAAAGTAAAGCCTCGTGGGAAAGGCATCAACTCGAAGTTTGGTGGCGTATCCAAGATGTCCCTTCCGATCATGAAGCCGGCGGTCG